TCCCTCCCTCTCTCTCTCTCTCCTCTCCCTTTCTCCATCTCTCCCTCTCTCATCATCTCATCATCTCTCAACAGATCGACCTCATCGATGGCAAGGGCAGGGGCGTGATTGCCACCAAGCAGTTCTCCCGGGGCGAGTTTGTGGTAGAATACCACGGGGACCTCATCGAGATCACTGATGCTAAGAAGCGGGAGGCTCTGTATGCACAAGACCCCTCCACAGGCTGCTACATGTACTATTTTCAGTATCTGAGCAAAACCTACTGGTAAGCCCATTAGCGCACCACCTGCCTTTTCCCTACTCTGGTGGAGAGGACAGGCCACACAGCCAAAAGACACCAAGAGCATCCTGATTCTGTTCAGTTCTTGCCACCCTTTTTCAGAGGTGTTTCACAGCTCTGCAAGTTCCTACTTCCCCTTCTTAATACTTGGGCTCGGATGTATTCTGGATGCCATCTCATCAGACGAGATGCAGGTGTGGCCAAGGCACAGGAAAGCCTGTTGGGAGGCTTACCTGGCCTCTCCTGGGGCTTTCAGCCAGAGCAGCTCTAGAAATTGCCAACTGTTCCTTCTCCATATGGCCAGTGTAGTTGACTGTGTTTTGTTAACAGGCTTTATTTTTTAGAGCAGTTTTATGTTCCCAGCAAAACTAAGTGGGAGGTACAGAGAGTTCCCATGTGCCCTCTGCTCCCACATGTACACTGCTGCCCCCACTCAGCATTTTGGATTTTTACCCATTTATTTATTATGCATAACTCTATAGTTACCTCACATTGCTCCACAAAGATTCTTTTGCATTCCCATCTATTCCCACCCACACCTCAAATACCCCACACAGTGCTTCTATCTAGGCTCTCAAAGATAAATTTTTTCCCAAAAAAGTGGCAATAAATCCCACCAGAGTTGACAGCATGATTCTACCTGGAATCAAAAGCCTCTCTTACCAATTTAATCCTGTGTTGTCCTTCCTCCCTGCCAGCGTGGATGCAACAAGAGAGACAGATCGCCTGGGAAGACTGATCAATCACAGTAAATGTGGGAACTGCCAAACGAAACTGCATGACATCAATGGCGTGCCTCACCTCATCCTCATCGCGTCCCGCGACATTGAGGCTGGGGAGGAGCTCCTGTATGACTATGGGGACCGCAGCAGGGCTTCCATCGAAGCCTACCCCTGGCTGAAGCATTAATGCCCCACCCCTTTCCATGGACAAAGTGCCCTCAAAGGGAATTGATTTTTTTTTACACACTTAATCTTAGCAGATTACTTCAGATGTTTTTAAAAAGTATATTAAGATGCCTTTTCACTGTAGTATTTAAATATCTGTTACAGGTTTCCAAGGTGGACTTGAACAGATGGCCTTATATTACCAAAACTTTTATATTCTAGTTGTTTTGTACCTTTTTGCATACAACTCAAACGTTTGTGCTTCCCGTGCATGCAGTCAAAGACTCAGCACAGGTTTTAGAGGAAAGAGTGAACATGAACTAGGTTGGAGAACTGGGTGATTTCTCCTGCCTCCAGCTGAAGAGCTGGGACTGTCTCCGCACACCTGGCACTGAGTGTGGGCCGGTGTGAGGACAGCGCTGCCTCCCAGGGCCTGTATGGGATGTTCCTAAGCTCTTGTTTCCTTGACATCTCGACAGGCGCACCTTGAAGTGTATGAATATTTTTTAAAAAGGTTTCGCAGTAAGCTAGTCTTCCCCTCTGCTTTCTTGAAAGCTTACTGACCCAGTGGCCTGTGAGCATAGGCTGGGCCAAGATGTACTCTTCCACAGGCTGCCGCTTTCTGGGCACCTCGAAGCATCAGGGCGGGTAATCAGAGTAGATGTGGGCAGGGAAAGCATCGCTTACCGAGCCTTGCCAGGGCAGGGCTTCCCGAGACTGGGTTAATTCTTTATAGAAATGTGAACACTGAATTTATTTTAAGAAAATAAAAATCACAAAACAAAAAAGACAAAAAAAAGAAAAAACCACAGAAAACAACTTAACGTGTATATAGGTCTTGAAGTGAGTGAAGTGGCTACATTTTTCTTTTTTCTTTCTTTTTTTGGTGGGGGGGTTGTTTTTGTAGAAGAGATTTGAGATGGTACTCTATTCTAATCAAAAATAAAGTTTTGTAGTGGGACCAGAAATTACTTACCTAATTACCTATCACCCTACCCCCACCCCAACCTGAACCGATTCTGCTGGCTTGAAAGTTCCAGACCTGCTGTCAGGCTTTCTGTTTGTCAGACCACCTGGTGTCTTTCCCACAAAAATGCAGCCATAATAGGCATGTGAGCCTACAAGCCCTGAAACAAAGGGCCCCACCCCATCTGCTGGTGTACAAGGTAGACAGGCCCAGCAGCCCAGGGATGAGGCTAAAGTTCTTAACTCACAGCAGGAGTAGGTAGCTTCCTCCCACCAAAGGGGGACCCGTTCTCATAACCTGTAGTCTGGGGGTGCCGTGGCTCTGGAGCCATGACCTGGAGTCCCCCTGGTCCCAGGTAAATGAATAGAGACAGGTATGAGACCCTGTCAACCTTGATGCCCCTGAGCCCCGACCCCAGCCTTACATGATGGTGCTACCTAAGAAAGTCTTCCCACCCAACCCCCACCGGCCTGGTCAGTGGTCAGTGAATTGGACGAGGATCCGATGGGAGTACGTAGATGTGAGATAAAATGTCTTGGTTGTACCTGTTTGTGGTTTAGCTTTGTATTTAAAAAAAAAAATTGAAAATTATTTGTCATCATAAAAATGAAACAAAAATTAAAATATTTATTGCCAGGCAGGCTACCTGTGTGTCTTTTTTAAAGGGTAGGGGTAGAAAAGAGTAGGGCTGGATTTTGTTTTATTCTACAAAAGGGTTATACACCTGTTGTTTTGGGGAATGTCCTGGGGACAGTTTATTCCTTTGTACAAATGGGGTTTTAGGGTACTAGAGAAGCCTGAAACTTAATGCATGCTGAACCCACCTTAGAATAATGGTTGGCATATGGTATAAATTTTAGCTGCAACAACTGTCATTGTTTCTAATGTATTAGGCTTGATCTTCAGGCAGGTGTTTCAGAATTCTCAGCTGCACCTGTCTTGTGATGGAAGCCCCTTGTACCAGTCCAGATCTGTCGCTGCCACACAGCCTCCATCTGCCCTTGATAGGCTGTTAATTCCCTCAGCCTCAAACACTGACAGATTGAACCGTGGATAGAGTCCTTGATTTACGGGCAAAAGATGTGGTTCCACCACCAGCTTTGAGCTATCTTCTAGGACAAATCACTTACCTCTCTGAAACCTGTCCATCACATGGGAATAGCCTCTGCCCACCTGCCATGCAGGGGTGTCTGGAGGATAGAGTCATTCCATGCTATTACATCTTCACCTTTGGGGGTGGTGTGCCTGATGGCTGAGAGTTGAGCCCTGGAACAGGATCTCTCTGGCCACTCAGCAGCTGTGTAACCCGGAAAGGTCACCTAACCCCCTGAGCACCACTTTCCTCTATACCATGAGGCTGTTCTGGTGCTCGGATAGGGTGATAGGATTAAATGGGTTTGTACCTGAAAAGCACTTGGAGTAGTACCTTACATACAGTAACCCTCAGTAATTACTGTTACCTATTATTATTAGGATTAAAAATGTGAGCTGTTTCTACCATTCACTGTTCACAAGTGCCCAAGGCTGACAAGTGCCTCCAAGCTCTGATACATAGTTGTATTTATTTATTTTTTAAAGACAATTACTACAGCAACCACTGCTCATGCCTTCCAAAATCTGGCTTGCAAACTTGCTTCTCAGCCTGTTCCTCCCATGCTGGGTTTGTAAATGGAAGCCCATGTGTGGGGTGCCTGTGAGCTCTGTTTTCCTGTGGTTACATCAGGTCTCAACCCCAGGAGAAATGTTCTCAAGACTTACCTCTTAGAATGCCCACCGTCTGATTTTACCAAAAGTAAAACATAAGCATTCTTTACTGTTACATTTTTGAGCCTCTCAGGATACACAGCCACCAGGGCTGTTTTAATTGACATTTCTCTCTGAGTGTTCTCTTGCTTTATCTATCCCCACGAGGGGGAGAGAGGGAGGTGAGCATTCCTAAGTCTGGAAATAAATGATCCATGTTATAAGAGGCTTATTGATAGCAACCCACATTGATCTGTCTGCTTCTAGACTTGATGGCCATCCTACAGCATGGAGATGAGGAAACAGAGGCAAGAATGGCACAGGTGTAGGGAGGTCAGCTGCCATGGGGCTCTGGGATGTTAGGCTGGTGCCGTAGAGGATAGATGTCAGAGCCGGACTTCAAACGTCAGTCCCAGGGTCCAGCACTGCTCTGCGGGCCTGCAAAGGACAGCCCAACCCAACTCTGTCGTGTGCTCTCGCACCCCAGGGTGGTCTCTGTACACGGTGCTGCAGTCAGGAGTCATGGATTTGTTTCTGAGTTGGCTCTCACCTCCCAGGTGCAGAAATCTTTCCCCTCCCTTGCCTTTTAAGAGGGAAGCCCCCAGTGAGGGCTGCAGTGTCATATGGGGTCAGGAATCAGAAACCCCTGAGCTTCTGGACCAGATTCTTAAACGTTGCTGACTTTTTTTAGGAGGCAGAATGGCCGAAGCCTGGGATGTGGAGTTTGCACCTGGGTTCAAGTCCTACTTCTATCACTTTGGAACAGGGGCCTTGGACAAGTTTCCTAGTACCCCCTGCTGTAACCTTGGGTGCACCACGGGACTAACAAGGCCCATCCCATGGGGGTATGGTAGGACAGTGCATGGAAGGTACCTAACATGGTGGGAGCAAGGGGGGCAGGGAACTGTGTTCCTTACTCATGCAGCACTTTTTGGAGAACTGGGGCACATACAGCCTCACCGATAAGAACCCAGGTCTCAGAATCAGGCCTGAGTTTGCATCCTAGGTAGCTGCTGCCTACCTGCATGACCTTGTGTAAGATACTTTAATCTTGCTGAGTCTGGATTTCCAAATCTGAAACTGGGGGATGAATACCAGCCCCCATCTCCCAGAGATAAATGGGATGATCCATGTAGCGGGCGACACACATTCAGTAAGTGAGTGTTTTTTACTAAGACAGGTTCCCAGGATGATAAATATATATATACACTACCATGTATGTGTGTGTGTATATATACATATATATATATATGTTAACACTTCTACACATATACATACAGCTTACAGATTTGGAAACCCAGATTCCAAAAGGTTAAGATACCTATACAGGTACCTAACAGATCACTCTAAAACACTTACATAAAGTATAAAAGTCATTTTACTTTAATACAAAATCACATAAAGTCATGTTAGCAAAAAGATGAGATATTCACTAAATATCAGTGAAATCAGCACTGGAATGTCAATGCCACATTTCCTGTGTCCTCTTCCCCCTCCCTCTTTGGGCTGATGTATTTTGCTGCTATGCGGTAAAGATGTTATGTGTGGGACCAGATGAGGAGAATACATATCTGCACGCTGGAGGCCCCTCTGAACTGCTGAAGTGGGGCAAGTGGTGGGCCCTACTGTGCTTTCCCTCTGCTTCCTTGATTTCTTTGTGCTACTTCACCTGCTCTGGCCAAGCCCTCGGAGGGCATCCAGTTCTGCAGCCAGGGTGAAAGTGATCATGAGACAACCTCACCTTCTTCCTCCTCAAACGGTTTCGGTGGGGGCAGATGAGCAGGCACTGTGTGTACGGACCCTGAGAGACAGCTCTGGAAGTCTTGGTGAGTTGTCTTCTCAAGTCTGAGAACCACTGCCTAAATTGGCCTGAGACCTATGGCTGCTTCCCTGATCGGAAAGAAAACCTGGGTGGAGAGAGAGAGAGAGACGTCAGACGGAACAAAGAGAATGAGACAGTCCCCTGCAAAATCTGTAAGCAGCTCTTGAAGGCCATTGTCTCAAACATTACTCAGACTCATTAGGGGCAGGTACTGTTCAGGAGCTTTCCATCTGTTAGCTCATTTCACACTTGATACAACTTGAGGTAAGAGCCATCAATGTCCCCATTTTATAGATGGGCAAATTGGCAGGGTTAAGTTACAGACCCAAGGTCACACAATATGTTGTGGAGCCAGGAATTGGACCCAGCACTGCCTTAACTACTGTGTTATGTTGAAAGGTGGTGCCCCACACCATTTTTTTCCCTCCAGGGTGTTTTATTGTAGAGGAAACAATAATTTCTCAATGTTACTTACCGTTAAAAACAGATCTTTACAATGAAGAAAGATTAATATGTAAGTTCTTCGATAAAATATATAAAGGTTTGAATATTGCAATACGAATTCTAAACTTACTGTGTTTTTCCCCCTCACAGGCAAAATTTTGAAAAGGAAGAATGATATCTGGGGTTGATCACAAAGTACAATCTCAATACTATTTCCATCTTTGAGCAAGATGCAAAGATGGCTGGGGGGCTGATAAGTCAGTGGAGGGATATAGGCTCTTGCATCTTATCAAAGACAAACCCCTGGCACCACTTGCAGCCATGGCTTTGGCAAGCCCTTGACTAGCATTCGGACAGAGGCATGAGGGCTCAAGCCTTCTCTCCTGAACCAGTGCTGCTACCCCCAGCCCCCAGGTCCCCATCTTGGGAGGTGATCATCCTCTGCCCAGTCACTCCTGCCAGGACACTGGGGGTTGTTCTCAATTCCTTCCCCTTCTGCTGTATTTCGGTCATCATGCTTCAAATGTGTTCCTAATCCCATGTCTCATCTATACTGCCACCCCGGAGTGTGAGCCCATAGGATGAGCAGGACAGCCTTCCTGCCACCTCTACAATCCACTCACACAGTGGCCAGCATGACCGCGTCACAGTGCAGAGCTAAGTCATTCCACAGCTTAAACCCTTCCACGCTCCCACTGTCCTCAGAATAAAGTTGTCTTAGCATGATCTACTTCAGAAAGTCATTCATTCATTCCATTAGCCCAAGAAGCTTCTCTGACCATGAAAATGTGGCATCACGCTCATTAAACATATGCTCTCAAAGCAGCTCATGCATCGAACAAAGATTTTATTTTTGCCATGTCAGGCTCAAACTCTTAAGTCACAGAAAGAACTCTGCTAGAAAGGGCACAAAGAAACCAGTGGTTTAATGTCTTCTGGAAGCCTGTTACAATGGGATACTCAACCAATGAAAATGCTAAACACTTCCCAAGTCCACACACTGAGTCCGGTGGAGATGCTCTCATACACTCACACCTCAGGGGACCCTTCCTTGGACAAGAAACACTTCCCTTGGCCCTGCTTTGACTCTTTCCCCACCAGCCCCACGTCACAAAGCAGCCAGAGTGAGCTTTTACATGGAAATATGGTCATGTTACTCCCCAGCTTAAAACCCTCCGAAGTCTCCCCAGGGCATTTAGAATGAAGGCCAGAGTTCTCACTAGGACCCACCAGCCCTGAGTGACCAGACCCCTGGGCCTCTCTGACCTCTCCTCCACTCTCTCTACTGCTCCAGCCACCATGGTCTCTGCTCCCAAACTCTCTCCTGCCTCAGGCCTTTATATCGGGTGTTCCCTCCGCCAGGAATGCTCTTTCCTCAGGTCCTTATGGTCTTTCAGGGCTCATCTGAATGTCACCTCCTCATAGAGGCCTTCCAGGACTCCCCATATGTAAAGTAGCCCCAGTCAACCTCTCTCTCAGCACCCTATTATGGTCTCCACAGCATTTACGGCTATCTGAAACTGTCCCGTTAATACATTCCTTACTGGTTCACTCCCTGACTCCCTCTCCTAGAACATAAGCACTGTGAGGGCAGGGCCTTCATCTGGTTCCCTGAATTGCCAGCACCTAAAACAATGGCTGCACATGGTAGGCCCCAATAAACATTTGTGGAAGGAATTAATGAATTTGGTTTCCGGTGGTCTTGTCTGGCAAAGCGGATTTCATAAAGCCATCCCAGAAATTCTAGTAATACCACAGACCTCCGTGGCCTATAGTAGCAAGCTCCCTTGTCCTCTCGCTTCTGGCTGGCCTCAGCCAATGGAAGGCAACAGCAGAAGCTGGGAAGGGTGGAAGGAGAGAGAGGTGGGGGTATTTAGGTCCCTGCTCCCTCCCTGCCAGGCCTCAGTTCACTAGCTACTGTGTTCCTGAAGGCCACACTCTTGCCTGGCCCCTCTCCCCTTACTGCTCTCTCCGTCATCCCTCTGGTGTTGTTCTAGGGTGCTTCTCCATCCCTTGCTAGTTCCTTAACCCTGCTCACACATCTGTAACATGTCCCTTCTGAAGTCTTTTCAGTCACTCCTTTTGAATGTGCCCCGTGTTTCTGAATGCCAGGACCCTTGACTGACAGACCCATGGCCTGAAATTTCACTCCTGGTGTATACCCCTGGAAATTCACACATTAAGTCCATGAGAAGACATGAATAAGCACAGAATATTCATTGCAGCATTGTTTACAGAGGGGGATTGCCAAAGCACTCCGGGATTCCATCACTGGGAGTTAGTATTTAAAGGGCACAGAATTTCAGGGTGGGATGATGGAAAAGTTCTGGAAAGGATAGTGATAATGGCTGCACAGCATCATAAATGTGCTTAATGTGACTGAATTATACACTTAAAAATGGCTAAACAGTAAGTTTTATGTTATGCATATTTCATCATGTTTAAAAAAAATCATTTGAATTCAGTTTTCAAAGCCTAAAGGATCTTACCATGTGTGGGTTAAAGCAGTGCTGTCCAACAAGGTGGCCACTAGCTACACATAGCTTTTGAACCCTTGAAACATGGCTAGTCTTAACTGAAATGGACTGTGACTGTATATACACCAGATTTTAAGGGTTTACTATTTTTTTAAAAAGAATGTAAAATACCTCATTAATAATATTTTATAGTGATCACATGTTGAAATGACAATATTCTGGATATGTTGGGTTAATAAAATATATTATCAAAATTTTTAAATAAGTGTATAATAAAAAAGAAAAACAACAGTGATTGGTGGGAAAAAAACTAGGAAACCGAATGAGGTATTTATCATCAGTTATGTACAGAAAATACATCCACACAAGACAATATACAGTTCCTAGAACACACTGAATAACACATTATTATTATTATTATTATTATTAAATGAACTATAGTTTATACATATTATATTGATTTCAAGTTGAATACCATATGAATATGGCTGGGAGGAGGGGAGCTGGACAGCAGAATGGGAATGGGGGATGGGGACAAAAAAGAAAGAAAGAAAAACCAGGAAAAAAGGGATCTTGTGCCCACAATGGAGATTGTGTGCCATGAGCTGAGACTCAATAACTCAACCTTCTATTCCTGAGGTCAAAAAGGGGGAAAAAAAATTGTCTTCTCTTCTTGAAACAAAGGCATCTGAAACCTGCTCTGGAAGGTAACCCAGAATCTCTGACCCCTCAAAAATATTTCCCTGTGAAATGGGAGCCAGCAGAGTCCTTGTTATCAAGTCAATGCTATATCCCCAGCTCCCAGCACAATGGCTGGCACACAGTATCTACTCAGGGTGGGTTTGCTGATTGACTAATGACCAAATGAATGCAGGAAAACAAGGTCGCCTCAGCCATCTGCCAAGAGAAGCTCTCCCTCAGAGGTGGGGCTAACTGGGCAAGAGTGAAGTGTCAGCCCAGAGCCAAGGACGCAATGCAGCCTGCAACAGGGCTTTATTTGCATCGCACAGTTTTTATCTTTTAATTTAAATTATTTGCCAGCATTTGGAAATCAGATTCTATGAACAAATCTGGTTTCTTGGCTTCTCTTAAGAATTATAAGCTCTGGCAGCCTGTTGTCCCTCAGCCAGACAGACTGAGGGGCAAATGTCCCCCTATGCCACCTCACATCCCCGTCAGTCATCCGCATCAAGGACCTGGCCCTGAAGACATTTGAGTGTGAGATCCCTAACTGAGGCTGTTTCTCAGTTTCCATCCAAGAGGTGAGGGGCTGGTAAGCTGTCACCAGGCCAGACATTCTCAAAGCAACCAAGGCCAACAGTCTGTTTGCTTCCACGTGGGTGGAGGAAAGGCATGCCTAATTGTACTGACACCTGGCAACTGGGAAGGCACATCTCGAAGTGTGATCCAAGGTTTCTGCATATCAGTGTTGCCTGGGGAATTAGTGGAAAATCCAGATTCTGGGTTGTGTCCTAGAACCATTGCCTTGGTTTCTAAGAATATGAATTTTAAACAAGCACCCCACCCTGGTCTGAAGCTTAGCACCCGAAGAAACCAGGGATTAATGATGATGCATAAACATGAGAGGAGTGAGTACTCAAAGGAAACTGCATTACAGGTCCCAACACTATAAGACACAGGCTCCTTCAAAACTAGAGGTAAGACAGGTAATGAATGAATCAGGCCCTTAAACTCCAATAATTATTGTTATTTTTTGTTTTTGCTGTAATATTATTATTCTTCGGTTATTATATCATAGGGAGGCAGTAGAATGTAGAAGCTGGACTTCTTGGGTTCATTCTTGGGTTCAACCCCTGACTTCACTATTTATTATCTCAGGCATTACTTTACCTCTCAGTTTCACCACCTGTAAAATGGGAAAAATAATAGTTCCTACCTCACCGGGTCATTGTGAAGAATCATGAATTAAAACATGCTTAGTTTAGTAGAATTTATGCCTCATATCGAAAATTACCGAGTATCATAATTCTTCCAAGTGGTAAAGATACCTCAAGACAAATGCTGGGCATAGAAGCCACAGGGCATAAATCTGCAAAGAAGTAAAAAGCTAACCTTTTCAAACAATATTGCTTCTCTCTCACTTGCCAACTTTACATTTCCCTGTATGGCCCCGGAAAATGACTGGTTAGCCAGAGACGGGTAAGATTCCTCAAGGGAGGAACAACCTAAGACAGGCACAGTCGCAGGGGGGCCATCAGGTGAGAAATTGGGGATCAACTGAGGTGAGGCTTAGAACCTCACCCCCCACTGTTTTGAGAGAAATCTTTTGCATCCGTGGATGTTTTGTTGCCCTTGTCTAGTTTGGATTAATACTTAGTCTATAGGCACACACCTGATCATCTACATTTGCCTTCTTACAGCACTAAATTGTTTTCTACCTTTATCTTGCATCTACCTACCACTTCAGCATTTTATTAAAATAATAATAATAATAATAATAATAATAATAATAAGGGAGAAATGTGGGATTCACATATAAATCAAGTATAAAAATCAAATGAATAATCATATCTGACTTGATTGTTCATAGTTCATGATGCGTGATCAAAACCGAAAGTTTCTGTGGTATGACTGCCCTCGCACTGTTCACCATGTAAGAACTTATTCACTATGTAAGAACTTGTTCACCATGTAAGAACTTGTTCGTTATGCTTCAGAAGATTGGCGACTGTTGAGAATTAGGCTTGGGGTTGATTAATGATTGTGCATTGAGTCCCCTATACAGAATTTTACTGTTGTTAACAACTATTTGATCAATAAATGTGAGAGATGCCCTCTCAAAATATATATATATATATATATATATATATTATTCATGGATACATGAACATTTTAAAAAAAAAACATACTTAGACTACTGCCTGGCAGATACAACATACCAGCACTGAATTTTCCCATCAGCTGCAGCACCACCACGAGGAGGGTAGGACCTCCCTGTCCTATAGCTGGCCAGCCTCCTCTGGCCCCCCCATCCTTCCTTCAGCAGTTATTTAGTGGTATCAGTGGGCAGCAAGATAACTTACAGCTTCCTTATGATGGTCCTCTCCTCCTTGTTGCTGCTGGCATTGCTGACCCTGGCAACCACAGCGTCCTTTTCTCTTCTTCCTCCTGGGCCTTCTCTTGGTGGAAGCAAGCCACTGGGAAAAAAGAGGACAAATGAATGCATTGCTTTACTGCAGACCTGTTACCTGTGCAGCTCTGAAAGTGAAGGGTCTTAATAATTATTAGTATATTAATAATATTATCACTGAAAGCTCTGGAGTCCAAGAGATTCTGACTCAGTGAGAATCTTCCCTCCACCTTTCCAATATTGATACCTCGTACTTCTTTTCTCTTGTCTAACTATGGGCTAGTACTTCAAGCTTCTCCACTTTCTAGGAATGTGACTATGAATAAATCTTCTAACATAAGCCTTGATTTCCTAACTGGAAAAATAAGGATAACAAAAGTATCTCCTAGAATTGACTGATTAAATGAGATTCATATGTGGCACCTGACATTCATTCAACAAATGTTTATTAAGGCACATATTACACAAGGGTCCTATGAACAAACAGGCAAAATGTCTTCTCTCATGCAATTCATATTCTAGTGGGGAAGGAAATAGTCAATAAACAAATAAGTAAAATAAAAATATAATAGTAAGTCAGACGGTGGTAAGAACTAGATTGACATTGATTGATAAGATATTGAGGACAAGTGACCAAGAGAGGACCAGGGTATTCCCTGGACTTGATGTAGAGAAGCTGAAGAAAACTGTTCTCTCTCACCTGCCCAACTGGGATTGCCAGTAGCTATGTTTCCAAAGACTCAGAGAAGGCTTGTCTGCGATACAAGAAAAGGAAGCCGACAAACAGAAGCAAAGAGGAAATAGGCACCCAGTCCCTGTTTCCAAACCCTGAGGCCTTAGTTGCAATTTTTCTTTATTTCTGAGAGCAGTTCCAGGAACCTTCCCAGCCATATAGGCCAGTAAATTCCCTTTTGTGCTTAAGCTAGTTTAAACTGAATTTCTGTCATTTGGCCCCAAAAGCAGCCTGACCACAACAAAGCATTTCAACGTATGACCCAGGACAGCTTGTTCTATCTGTTTAGGTACTTTGTTGCAGTACCTACCAGCAAATTTAAGACCATGGTATTTCCCTCTTGCTATGGATTGAATGTGTCCACCCTGAAAATTCATATGTTGAAGCCCTAACACCCATATGATGTTATCTGGAGATGGGGCCTTTGAGAGACAGTTGGGTTTAGATGAGGTCATAAGGGTAGGAGCCCCATGATGGGATTATTGCCTTTGTAAGAAGAGACACCTGAGGCTTGCACAGGCTTTCTGAGAGCCCCCTCACACTTTCCTTCTCCCTCCCTCCCTCTCCCCTTCTCCCTCCCTCTCTCTTCCCCACTCTCCCTCACGCCCCCCTCTCTCCCCGCCAAGTCAGGACACAGCAAGAAGCCAGCAGTCTGTAAGCCAGGAAGAGTCAGAACCAAACATGCTGGAAACTTGATCTTGGACTTCTAGCTTCTAGAATAGTGAGAAAAGAAATTTCTACTGTTGAAGCCACCCAGTCTATGGTATTCTGTTATGGCGGTCTGAACTGAGGCACTCCTTTAGGTGTGAGTGTCAGAGAGCAGAATTCATCCTTCTCTTTCCTTTGCAAAGAGGGAGCTCTTATTATTTAATATTATTACTTCTATTTTCATAATATATGTATTAAAATAATGTAAATGTTATTTAATACAAGGCATCATTTAAAAATTCTCTTTTCCCATTATCCATGGTTACATAACACCCTAAAATGTAGTGATTTAAAGCAATGATGATTTATGATTTCTCATGATGCTCCATTTCTTATGGTTGGCTTGGTCATTCTCCTTCTGGTCTAGTCCGGGGTTCTCAGGAGGCTGTATTCAATTGGTGGATCAGCTGAGGGCTGGGCACAGCTGGGGCCCCTCTGTTCTACACGGAACCTCTCCCTGTGACTACCTTGAGCTTCCTCACAGCATGGTGGTCTCAAGGCAGCATCCCAAGACACAAAAATGGAGGCTGCAAGGCCTCTTTGAGAAAGAGGACTCCTCTGACCTAAAATCCAAAGAGTGTCACTTCCAGCACATTCCACTGGTCAGAGCAAGTCATAGGGCCACCCAGACTCCGGGGGAGGGAACACGGACTCTTATCTCTTGAGGAGAGGAGTGGAAAAGTCTCATTGCAAAGGTGTGCAGGATTGGAAAATTGTTGTAGCCACTTTGGAAACAGCCTACTACATCTGCCTTTAATTAAAAACTGTCATTAGTATGAGTTCGGGCCTCCAAATTGGTATAGTTGCTAAGAGAACACCTCAGCTGACATGCTGGTTTCTCCAGAGAACACAAGCAACTGAACAGAATCCTTGCTGTCCATGGGCCTATATCAGCTGGTCAGTGCATATCTGCTATTCTCTGGGAACTCAAAACTGGAAATAGTGTGTTGCTTTATTCACTAACAAGCTGCTCACAGCACCAGCAGTTTGGCAGTTCCTGCTGTTAACTACCTGTGTCTGAAGTACTTAACTGAGAGGAAGTCAGGTCTTTCCGTTAACATGATTTCAGCCTTGGCAGAAATGAAGACAATTAAATTGCTGTTGGCCGAATTCGGCCCTTTTGGATCTGGCTTCCTAGAAGAGTTTTATTGTATTGCCGCTCTCTTAATTATGTGACATTGAACCAATTTAAATAATAATATCACCTGGACTTTTGTTTTGTTTTCTTTTAAACCAGGGTATATCCTTAATTCCAAATTTTCAGAATCTAAACAGGCCATGATAATTAAAAAGCACAAGCTCTGATGCCAGGCTGGCTGAGGTCATGTCTCACTGTTGCCACCAGCAGTCAGGAGACTTCAAGAAGGTACCTGACCTCTCCAGACCTTGATCTTGGGGATAACACTGCTTTAACTTACAGGCTTGCTGTGAACACTAATTGAAATGATGCCTGGGATACACTTAGCAGAGTGCCTGGCACATGGTTAGTATTGATAAATATTAGCTGGCACTGTGTGCTTATTTCCTTGGTCTTTCTTTCTTTTGCCTGTAAGGAAATCTGTTTGTTTAACTCAGTACTTCCCAGAGTTATTTGACCTCGGAGACCACCTTTCAAGAAATGCCTGTGTGAAGGAAAACATTCTGGGAAACAGTGGTGCAGATGAAAAAGCAAAGTCCAAATCTAATTATGTCAACAGCCTCCTTATTTTCTCCCTTGCTTTTCCTACAATCCTTCCCTACACACATTATTGTGATTTTTTGTAACTTTTCATTTTTATATAATTTCAAACTTACAGAAAAGTTGTAAGATCAGCACAAAGACTTCCCATATACTTACCCTGACCCCCCAATTGATTATCTATGTATCTGCCCACCTACCCACCCTTCCATCCATCATCTTCTGAACCATTTGAGAGTAAGTTTCCAACTTACTCCTAAATACTTGTGTGTATTTCCAGGGAACAAGGACATTCTCTTACATAACTAAATAGTTCAGTTATCAAAACCACCACATTGTCTTCTAAAATAGTACATCAGATCTTGTCATTCCCTTGGTTAAAACTTTCCAACGATTCTCATGACTCTTATTAGAATTAGTACTCTTTTCCGCAGCCAACAAGGCATCCTGCCCACTCTTTTCTTGACCATCCTCTATCCTGCATTCCCAGTTCCGCCAAGTCGGGTCTCAAATTGACCAAGCAGGTTCCCATCTCAAGGTCTTTACAATTCTAGCTCCATTTCTGCCCTACCAAATCTTTACCGGGTTGGAGGCTGCTTGTCATTCACCTCAAAGGGGTCTCCCCTGACCTCCCCATCTAAAACAGGCCCCTTCTCGCCTCCCTCTGTGCTTTGCTCCATCATGTTACCTTGTTTTATGTTCTTCAGAGTGTTCACCCCCATTATCCTGCATGTTCATTCCAGGCCTCCTGTTGATTGCCTCTCTTCCCCTAGACAAGCATGGACTTCCTCTTGTTCACTGCTATTTCCCCAGTGCCAGGAATAGTGCCTGGTGTACAGTCATTGAATGAACGTAAGAACAAATATGCAACATATGGAGGAATTCCAGGCAGGACCTGGCTCTCAGTGCAGGAGCCCCACCTCTTGTAGCACTGCAGCTCTTCCTGCACCACCAGCAGCTGAGACTTGAGTTTGTTGCGCTCCTGCAGCACATCCCTCAGCTCCTGCAGGGTGAAGCGTGGTCGGTTGGAATCTCTCAGGTCAATCACCATTTTGTCTGGTCCCAGGTTCACCTGTAGGAAAAGACACCACTTATACAGTTTCCCTCCTGAGGATGGACTGTCCATCCCAGAAAGGAAAGTCCTCTTGTTTTGCTACTCTCAGGGACCCTATGAGATGAGACGTTACCCATTGGAAGTATGTAGTTGACAGTAAGGAAGGAAAGGTTCTAAGACCATTCTCCAAGAAAAGAACCAGGGCTCCCTGGGCTGGCCGATTCCAGGGCTGGAACAGGGAGAGTACAAGATAGGCCTTCCAACTTGAACTGAATTACACCACTGGCTCTCCAGCTTGCTGGACGCAGATTGTGGGACTTCTCTGCCTCCATAACCACATGAGCCAGTTCCTATAATAAATATCCTCTTATATCTATATCTTTATCTATATTTCCTATTCTGTTTCCCTGGAGAACTCTAATACAGGAGATAGTGGGGAGAATCTGTACCCTACAGCAGAATGCCATTTAATAAGGGTAGAGGTTGATATAGTTAACCTTAGCAATCATTGATTCAGGCAAGACTAATTAACAGATTAAAATCTTTAGGTGAAAGTGTTTTAGGCAACAGGTTATTTTACAAAGTTTCAAATTTTTCCCCAAAGTTTACTTGAATCTAACCATGAAGTAAAACTAGAACAAACTCAAATTGAAGGATATTCTACAAACCAAATGATACATAATCTTTAAAAATGACAAGGTTACAGTCAATAGTTCTGCAACATCTTTCTTTGCTGACAGTAGTAACTACACTAGTTGGGGCAAGGATTTAATAATACACATGACTGTTGAATCACCATTGTATAATTAAAACCAGTAATGTATATCAACTATACCTCAAAAAAAAATTTTTTTTAATGTCAAAGTCATGAAAGACAAGGAAAAGCTGAGGAACTGTTTCAGATTAAAGGTAATTAAAGAAGTATGTCCACTGGAGGTATTGTATAACCCTGGACTAGACCTACATCAGAAAAAAAAATGCTATGAAGGAGACATTATTGTGAATGTTGAATAAGGATGGTAATATTAGATCCTAATATTCTATCAACTTTTTCCCCCAAATTTGTTCATTTATTATAGTTTTGTAAGAGTATGTCTTAAGAGATACACACTGAAGTATTTAGGGTAAAGGATCCTAGTCTTTTACTAATCCTGTAACTAACAATGTCTGCTCAAATAACTGAACAAAACTATGAGTGAATTAATGACATATATACATAAATATTATTTTTGTATAGGTGAATATACATATATATATGTGTGTATATAAATATTTCAGTGTATATCTGAAAATACCTGAATACAACACTTGAATCAAGATGAAAGATGTACAGATGTTCATTGTACATATCTTGCAACTCATCCATAGCCTTGAAATTTTTTCAAACTGAAGTTAAAGCAAACATTTGAAAACAGCCAAAATGTCCATTAATAGAAGCTAATTAATGTCCATTTAAATGTCCATAAAAAGAAGTAAAATACAAAAGCAAAAATGAACAAATGGGACTATATCAAAATAAAAAGCTTCTTTACAGAAAAGGACACAATCAGTAGATCAAAAAGGCATCCTACAGTATGGGAGAATATATTCATAAATTCAGAAATATCCGATAAAGGGTTGACATCTAAAATACACAAAGAGCTAACGCACCTCGACAAACAAAAAGCAAATAATCCAATTAAAAATGGGCAGAGGATCTGAACAGACACTTCTCCAAAGAAGAAATTCAGATGGCAACAGGCACATGAAAAGATGCTCCACATTGCTAAGTATCAGATAAATGCAAATTAAAACCACAATGAGATATCACCTCACACCAGTTAGGATGGCCAACATCCAAAAGACAAACAACAACAAATGTTGGCGAGGTTGTGGAGAAAGGGGAACCCTCCTACACTGCTGGTGGGAATGTAAACTAGTTCAACTATTATGGAAAGCTGTATAGAGGTTCCTCAAAAAACTCAAAAGAGAAATACCATTTGACCAGGGAATTCCACTCCTAGGAATTTACCCTAAGAATTCAGCATCCCAGTTTGAAAAAGACATATGCACTTCTATGTTTATCACAGCACTATTTACAATAGCCAGAAATGGAAGCAACCTAAGTGTCTATCAGTAGATGAATGGATAAAGAAGAGGTGGTACATATACACAATGGAATACTATTCAGCTATAAGAAGAAAAAAAATTCTACCGTTTGCAACAACATGGATGAAGCTAGAGGGTATAATGCTCAATGAAATAAGCCAGGCAGAGAAAGACAAGTACCAAATAATTTTACTCATCTGTGGAATATAAAAACAAAGAAACAACTGAAGGAACAAAATGGCAGTAGAATCACAGAACCCAAGAATGGACTAACAGTTACCAAAGGGAAAGGGACTGGGGAGAATGGGTGGGAAGGGACGGATAAGGGGAAAAAGAGGCATTATGATTAGCACACATAATGTTGGGGGGGGGGCACAGGGAAGGTAGTACAACACAGAGAACAAGTAGTGATTCCATAGCATCTTACTATGCTGATGGACCATGACTGTAATGGGGTATGTGGTGGGGACTTGATAATGGGGGAAATCTAGTAACCACAATGTTGGTCATGTAATTGTATATTGGTCATATCCCCCCAAAAAAAGAAGTTAAATAAACTCAGGCATGACCACACTCTGGAATATTCTACAGGCGATAAAGAGAATTAAGACACACTACACAGAGAAATGCAATAATGGCTACATGCCTCCTATGGGAAGGACAAGGATCAGTGCATTTGTTGTGAAGGCTGTGGGGAACAGGCAAATTCACTGAGTGCTGAGGGGGATTTCCTCAACCTCTTTGGGGTGCAACTTGGTAACTGTTAATACTTATCCAAAGTTCACATGCACTTTTCTTTTGACCCAGGGAACCCATTTCCTCTAGATACTCTCCTGCAGGGGCCCAATGGCATATGTCAGGGTTATTCGTTGTTGCCTGTGCAAACAGCAAATGACTGGAAGATAAATGTCTTGTGATAAGAGATTGGTTAAAGCAGAGATTCTTAATATTTTTGTGCCATGGACCCTTCTGGAAGCCTGGTATAGCCCAAGTGGATTCTTTCTCAGATCAAGGTTTTTAAATATATAAAAGAAAAGCCATAGGATTATAAGGAAACCAAGTAAGGGGAAAAACATATACTCATCAAAACCTTCTAAAAACAAAGTTATGATTAATATATTTGCTTCTTTATTAAATAACATGATCGAGCCACAGGTCTGATAAAATACTGAACAGCAACAAAATTTTGAGATATGTACTACACTGTGATATGAAAATATCTGTGATGATTATCACAGGGATTGTTAACATTCCTGTGGTTTGTCGTCTATGTTCAAAGTTGAAAAAAGTGATACACTTCAGTTGGAAGTTGTGAAAATAAAAATATAATTTTTTCCCCATGCAAATTCTCTTGGATTAGAATCATGATCCCCCTGGGAGGTTCCAAGAACACCAAATTTAGAATATTCAAGGTTGAACAACTAGTAATACTATACAATGAAAGTTTTCAAAAGCCATTAAAAGATGAGGAAGTTTTTTTTTTATTTTGTTATCATTAATCTACAATTATATGAAGAACATTATGTTTACTAGGCTCCCCCCTTCACCAAGTCCCCCCCACACACCCCATTACAGTCACTGTCCAGCAGTGTAATAAGATGCTGTAGAATCACTACTTGTCTTCACTGTGTTGTACAGCCCTCCCCATGCCCCCCACTATATTACACATGCTAATAATGCCCCCTTTCTTTTTCCCCGCCCTTATCCCTCAGAGGAAGTTTTTTATATTCTGATTTAGTAAACTTTCATGCTGTGTACAAAATGGGAAAATATATTCATATCTGCTCATGTTTGCATAAAGAAAGTATCTCTGGAAGGACACACAAGAATCTGATCATTCTAGTTTTTCCAGGGAGAGAAAGTGGGCAGCTAGGGGAGGAGAGAGGTGGGGAAGGAGATTTTTCACAGCAAACAACTTTTGTACCTTTTGAATTTTGAATTAAAAAATTTTTAAAAGATCTTATAACATTGTTATTTTTTTATTAAGGTATCATTGATATACACTCTTGTGAAGGTTTCACAAGAAAAACAATGTGGTTATTATATTCACCCTTATTATTGAGTCGCTCCCCATACACCATTGCAGTCACTGTCCATCAGTGTAGTTAAGATGCCACAAAGTCCCTATTTATCTTCTCTGAACTACACTGTCTTCCCCGTGGCCCCACACACACCGTGTGCACCAATCATGATACCCCACCACAATCCCCTTCTCCCTCCCCCTCCACCAGTCCTCCTCCACCCGTCCCCTTTGGTAACCACTAGTCCCTTCCTGGAGTCTGTGAGTCTGCTGCTGTTTTGTTCCTTCAGTTTTGCTTCATTGTTATACTCCACAAATGAGGGAAATCATTTGGTATTTGTCTTTCTCTGCCTGACTTGTTTCACTGAGAGTAATAACCTCTAGCTCCATCAAACGTTATTGCAAATTGTAGGATTTGTTTCTTTCTTATGGCTGAATAATATTCCATTGTGTATATGTACCACATCTTCTTTATCCATTCATCTACTGATGGATACTTAGGTTGCTCCATATCTTGGCTATTGTAAATAGTGCTGTGATAAACATAGGGGTGCATATGTCTTTTTCAAACTGGGCTGCTGAATTCTTAGGGTAAATTCCTAGGAGTGGAATTCCCGGGTCAAATGGTATTTCTATTTTTAGTTTTTTGAGGAACCTCCATATTGCTTTCCACAGTGGTTGAACTAGCTTACATTCCCACCAGCAGTGTATAAGGGTTCCCCTTTCTCCACATCCTTGCCAGCATTTGTTGTTTCTAGTCTTTTCTATGTTGGCCATCCTAACTAGTGTGGGTGATATCTCATTGTGGTTTTAATTTGCATTTCCCTGATGATTAGTGATGTGGAGCATCTTCTCATGTGCCTGTTGGCCATCTGAATTTCTTCTTTGGAGAAGTGTCTGTTCACATCCTCTGCTCATTTTTTAATAGGGTTATTTGCTTTTTGGGTGTTGAGGCGTGTAAGTTATTTATGTAATTTGGATGTTAATGCCTTGTTGGATATGTCATTTACAAATATATTCTCCCATATTGTAGGATGCCTTTTTTTTCTGCTGATGGTGTCCTTTGCTGTACAGAAGTTTTTTAGCATGATGTAGTCCCATTTGTTCATTTTTTATTTTGTTCCCCTTGCCCGAGGAGAAGTGTTCAGGTAAAAGTTGCTCATGTTTATATTCAAGAGATTTTTGCCTGTGTTTTCTTCTAAGTTTTATGGTTTCATGACTTACATTCAGGTCTTTGATCCATTTCAAGTTTACTTTTGTGTATGTTTCATTCTCTTACATGTAGCTGTCCAGTTTTGCTAACACCAGTTGTTGAAGAGGCTTTCATTTCCCCATTGTATATCCATGGCTCATTTATCGTATATCAATTGACCATAAATGCTTGGGTTTATATTGGGCTCCCTAGTCTGTTCCATTGGTCTATAGGTCTGTTCTTGTGCCAGTACCAAATTGTCTTGATTACTGTGGCTTTGTAGTAGAGCTTGAAGTCAGGGAGCTGAATTTAAAGTTTTAAAATAGGAAAAGAACTACCTCACACCCATTAGGATGGCTACTATAAACAAAATAGAAAGTAGCAAGTGTTGGTGAGTAGTTGGAAAAACTGGAACTCTTGTGCACTACCGGTAGAGATGTAAAATAGTGCAGTCACTATGGAAATCTGTATGGAAGATCCCTATAAAGTTAAAAATGTAATTATCATATGATCCACCAATTCTACTTTTGAATATACTCAAAAGCATTGAAACCAGTGTCTTAAAGAGATATTTATACATCCATGTTCAGAGCAGGAGTATTCACACTAGCCAAAGGGTGGAGGCAACCTAAGTGTCCATCATGGATGAGTGGATAAACAAAATGTGGTCTCTCCACACAATAGAATATTATTCAGCCTTTAGAAGGAAGGAAATTTTGGTATAACAACACAATGTGGTGAACCTTGAGGACATTATGTTAAGTGAAATAAGTCAGTGACAAAAGGACAAGTAGGATTCTACTCATATAAGTGCCTAGAATAGGCAAATTCACAGAGATAGAAAGCAGAACTGTAGTTACCAAAGGTTAAGGGGAAGTGGGAGAGGAAGTTAGTGTTTAATGGGGACAAAGTTTCAGTTTTGCAAGATGAAAAGAGTACTGGAAAGAATGGTGGTGGTGTTGCACAACAACGGAAATTCACTTAATGCCACTCTACTGTGCACTTAAAAATGGTTAACGGGGTAAATTTTATGTGTACTTTACAATTAAAATGATTTTTTAAAAAGAAAAGAGTAGCATATTTTTATGAACTGTCTAGTGGCACTAAAAATTCATTCTCATTCCCCACCCCTGTTCTTAAGACTGCAGTTTGGGAGGAAAATGTGCCATCTCATCTGCTGGCTGATAGAGCTTGTCCACTGGGCCCCATACGGGAAATCACCCAGCCCCTGTGCAGACCACACTGTTCATGGCCCATGGTGCGACTTCCTCCTTGTCCCTGATGTTGGAGGACAGGAAATGAACTCAGAATGTGAGCTGAGTGATGTTGGGCAAGTCATTCAACAACTCTTGAATCTCAAAAGCCAGACTACTAATTATGAAATTCAATCATCTCATATAGGATGGATACTAAAGTAGAGCTTTATCTACAAATACAAATGTCAATGAGACAAATGAATAGGCAAAATAAAAGTGCCCCAGGGAAACAAGCAAAAACCTTCCCTCTTCCCTGCGAATTTCAGGGACCCTGTTCTTGCTGTCCTTTCATGGCACACATCTCAGTTTGTGACCTTGTATTCTAGTTCTGGAGGTGTGTATGTCTTACCGTTGCCACTAGATGTGAGCTCATGAGGAGAGGGACCTAGTCTAGTTTACCTCCAAGGCCCCAAGAGCCAGCACAGTGCAGTCAGTCACTAAATAGTACAACAAATAAAATAAAATGTCTATTTTAGTATGGAGTGGTTAAGAGTAGCACCTCTGAACTCAAATCCTGCCTCCACCTCTTGCATAAATCCTTATACAAATTACCTAATTGTTCTGTCTTCATTTCTAAAAATGGATAAAACAATTGTGTGAGGATTAAACAATGATCCACTTAGAGCAGCCCTTCTTTTAAACTGTGGTTGGAGACCCACTAGTGAGTCATGGCATTAATTTAGTGAATTGCAGCAAGAATTTAGAAAACTAGAATAATAAAGTAGGACTATGTATCATGTTCAGGAAGGGTGGGTTAGGGTAAATTGTTTCTTGAAATTTCTGTTTCATCAATACTGGGTACTGATAGACAAGATACGCTTGCAAAATGAGGTATAACATACAGGAAAATGCTCTAATCTTGAGTTTATAGCTTATTTTTAACATATGTGCATACCCATGTAACCACACCCAGAGAGCTCCCTACACAATTCCCTACTGCTCCCTTCACTCTCCCCTCCTGGGGTTACCATCAATTTGTCTTCTATAAGTAAAGATTATTTTGCCTGTTCTTCAATTTCACATAAACATACAGTAGGCTCTCTTGTGTGCCCAGCATCTCTCTCTCAGTGAGCGTGGTCTGTGAGAGTCATCCACACAGTCGTGGATACCAGCACACTGTTCTTTTTCACTGTTGCCTAGTATTTCACTGTATGACTATACCCAGAGTTTAATAAATGCATTCCTCCATTACATTTGTACCAGTTTGACATAATTATGAATAAAGCTGCTTGAATATTCCTGTATGTGCCTTTTTGTGGTCATAAGCACTCATTTCTCTTTAGTTAAAATTCACTTCTTACTCCAGGTTGAATAATCTCAAAAGTGTGATGCCTGCACCAGTAGCACCCATCAGCACCACCTAAGAACTTATTGGAAATGCGGATTCTCAGGTCCCATTCCATACTCTGAAACTGTGGGCCCGGTACTCTGTGTTTCACGAACAATCCAGGTAATTCCAATTCAAGTTAAAGCTTGAGAATTCCTGCTCTAGGTCAAAAACGCAGGAAGTCGCTGGCTTAGAACATAGCACACGGCCCAGCACACCTGGCAAGTGCTCAGTGTTAACCATCATATGACACCAACCTGAACACGGGACACCCGCAGCGACATGTTCTGAATGATAACCAGGTGGAGGATGAGGAGAGGAAAGGGGCCTCCCTGCCAGGGCCGCCGCTTCCCAACCCCTCGCACTCACCTCCGGACCGGCCGCCGCGCCCTCAGCCCGCAGCCCCTCCACCTCCTTCCTGAGGCTGTCCCTCTCCATCCGCAGCGCCTCCAGCGTCAGGTTGCCCTCATTCACCAGCGTCTCCAGCATCTCTAGGACGCGGACGACCTTGAACTGCAGCTGTGTCACCCGGGGGTCGCTGCCCAGGGCCATTAGCTCGCGGCCCATCACGTAGGAGATGTCATACACGTCCTCGGCGGTCAGCTGGAAGGGGCTCTTCCGCAGAGCCCCCTCCGGCCCAGCCTCGTCCCCCTCCTCCTCTTCCTCCCCTTCCTCCTCTCGAAAAGGGGGCTCCTCCATGGCTGCCCGGACCCCTGCAGCCTCGGGAGCTGCTTTCTCGGTGGCGTCCCCAGCCAACTTCCTCCACACACACAAAACTTTCCGCTGGGCGGAGGACGCGGCCTGCCCGGGCGGAGGGGTGGCCCCGAGCCGCCAACCAGCGCGGCAGAAGGGTGGCCCCGCGAGCAGGGCCGCGCGCGGCCGCTCTCAGGCCCCGGCGCCCGGAGCAGCGTCCCCGCCGAAGACCGAGTAGGAGGTGGGGCTGTGGTTTGGGGTGCGAAAGGGCAACGGAAAGGGGCGGCGGCCGCGAAGAGGAACGGAGAGGTTACGGGGTGACAGTGATTGCGCCCCCGCGGAGATGTTGCAAGCCGGGGAGGGGCAGCGGCCTGGGCTCCGCCTGTGGCAGCCGCGACCCACGCCGGTTTCCACAGAGACGGGGGCGGACTTTCCGAGGCCAGTTAGGGAAAGAGGGTGAAAAGTCCACAACTTTTTCCTGCCTTCATTCAAGCTTTGCAGCCATAGAATTTGCATTGTGCGGGAGGAAGACCCGGGCCTCGGGCCTCGGGTCTTCTGTGAAGCCAGCGGCAAGACAAAACAGCTGTTTGCTGGTGGCAGCGCGCTGGAGGCCAAAGGCCTGGGCTGCGCAAAGCTCCCGGGCCAACTGTGTCCAGGACCTGCGGGATCTGACTCTCAGCAAAATGGAGACTCCGCTCCGTGCAACTGGCAGACTCGTGGGCTCCTCCGCTTGACGAGCGCTGTAGCTTAGGCAAGTTCTTAACTCCTCTAAGCCTCAGTTTCCTCTCTGCAAGTAACAGCCCCTACGTGGAAGGGCTGCCTCCAGGAATGTATGAGATGAGGTTCTTAGATAATGTGTGTGACAAAAGGCACTTAGGAAGCGCTCAAAAAAATGTTAGCTGGATCTTACTACGCTGGTGGACAGTGACTAATGGAGTATGTGGGCGGGGGACTTGGTGATGGGGGGAGTCTAGTAAACATAATGTTCCTCATGTAATTGTAGATTAATGATACCAAAAAAAAAATGTTAGCTGGTATTTTTCATTCTCTCCCCTAACAAACATTGAGCATTTGTGCGAGACACTCAGCACATGGGTTGGGGTGGGAGGAGTAATAAACAAGACAAAAATCAGTCTGCTTTGAAAATTATAAAGTATTCTGCAGATACACAGCGTTTGTATTCCTGAGAACATTAGCAGTGTGCGTTGCAAACCCAATTATTTAAAGTTTGACTAAAGGCTTGTAACAGCCAAAGCAGAAAACTCAGCAATGGAGCTTGTCCTCCCAGGAAGCTTTCTTTCAGGTAGATGCACCTGACTTTCTCCCCATCGAGATTCTAGCATCACAATGGAGAATGATGGAGAATGGACTAGGATAAAACAAGCAAAAAGCAAAGCAAACAAAACAGACACTATTTTCAGAGGGTCCGTGTTCTAATGATCAAAGTGAGTCTCTGAGCAAGGACTCAGTAATCCATAAATCACAAATGTGACAACACCTAGTGATTAAATCCTGAGATAAAATACTAGGCTTATCATAAATAAAATATTGTGTCCCCATATAGTAGAGTATTATTCAGCCTTCAAAAGGGACAAAGAAATAGAATACAGATCCCAGATATAAACTCTTGCATATGTAGTCAAATGAATTTCAACAAGGGTGCCAAGACCATTCACTGGACAAAGGACAGTCTTTCAACTTTGGAAATTGAATGCCCACATGCAAAAGTATCAAGTTGGACACTTACCTTATACCATACTCAAACTGAATTAAAAATGGATCAAAGACCTAAACCTATAAAACTCTTAGAAGAAAACATAGGGGAAAAGCTTTATGTCACTGGATTTAGCAATGATTTCTTCAAAGGCACAGGTAACAAAGGAAACAAATAGAAAAACTGGACTATATCAACATTTAAAACTTGTGTGCATCAAAGACCACAACAGGGTGAAAAGGCAACCTAGAGAATAAGAGAAAATATTTGCAGATAATATTTAACAGGGAGTTAATATTCAGATTATATAAAGAACTCCTGTAACACAGTAACAACCCCCTGCCAAAAGCCCAGTTAAAAAATGGGCAAAGTAAAAGTAGATGCAAAATTCTTAGCAAGGTATTAGCAAACAGAATTTAGCACTATGTAAGAAGTGTTATTACATACCACGACCAACCAGAGTTTATTCCAGGGATGTAATGTTGGTTCAAAAAAGGCAATTGATATAACCACCATATTAACAGGCTCAAGAATCCACACACACACACACAAAACAAACAAACAAACAAACAAACAAAAAACTATTAGAGCTAGTAAATGGGCTCAAGGTTGGAGGTTACAAAATCAATATGGAAAAATCAACTGCATTCCTATACACTTTCAAGGAATAATCTGAAAATGAAATCAAGACAATTCCACTTAGAATGGCATAAAAAAGAGTAAGATACTTAGAAATAAATTTAACAAAAGCGGTACAAACTTGTACACTAAAAACTATAAAACATCATTGATAAAAATTAAAAATTTAAATAAATAAAATGACATCCCACGTTCATCAATTATAATACCTAATACTGTTAAGATGGCAATACTGTCCATTTTATACCTCTAACTGATCTATAGAATCAGCACAATCCCTATCAAAATCTGCACAGAAAAGAGTTAAGAGAACAGGCCTGAGAATGCTATTGTTTGAAAATCCTGCTTGCAAGTTTGGTCCTTTTACAATCTGGGAACTTGGATTTGGGGAGGGTCTCTACCATCCCAACTGACAAGAGTCACTTGCTGTGCCTGAACTTTTTGTACAAAAACATAGTTCACAGTGTACACCTGCTTTCCTCCTGGGAGCCTGGCATTTTGTTATGTGCTAGGCAGAAGGTGTCTGCAAGACCACCCTCAATAAAAACCTTTGGCTCATGGGGTTGATTAATGATTGTGCATTGAGTCCCCTATACAGAATTTTGTTGCTGTTAACAACCATTTGATCAATAAATATGAGAGATGCCCTCTCAAAAAAAAAAAAACCTTTGGCACAAAGTCTCTAATGAGTCTCCCTCGAAGATAATATTTCATATATGTCACAACTTGTTAAAACCTCATATTGTATGATTCCATCTATAGGAAAAATCCAGAATAGGCAAATCTAACAGAGCATCTACTACGTGCAGTCTGTAATGTCGAAGTCAACTAGGCTGTGGAGTTAAACAGTCTTTGACTTGAACATCACATTTGCTACCTGCTGGTACAGAAGTTTACTCAAATTCCCTAATCTCTCCAAATCCCCATTTCCTCACTGTGAACTAGGAAAAATAAAAGTATTCCCCAAGCTTGGTATGAGGACTAGATGAGACAATGCATGGGAAGTGCCTAACCCAGTGTTTTGCACATCGTAAGTTCAAATGAATGTTGGCTATTATTATAAAGTATTAATGAACTTAACTCTTAGACCCCTCAGAATTCAACAATCTGTTGATAGGTAATCATGACCCTTCTTTCTCCATTGGGAAATTATGAAAGCAAGTATGAATCACAAGGGAGCTTCTTAAAGTGGGCTCCCTGGACCAGCAGCAATGGTTATCACCTGGAAACTTTTTAGAAATGCAAATTTTTCACCCACTGAATCAGAAACTTTGGGGGTGGGACCCAGCAGTATGTATGTGTTTTAACAAGCCCTCTAGGTAATTCTGATGCACTCAAATTTGTAAAACAATGAGTGACAGCATAATGTTCAAAGGGTGGGTTCTAGACCAGACTACAAATTTCAAATCATGATTCATATCTTCTCACTTGTAAACTGTGTGATGATAGGCAAGTAAATTAAGCCTCTACTCTGGGGCTCAGTTTTCCCAGCTGTAATATGGGAATAAGGATACAATCGACTTCATAAGATTATAGTGAAGAATGTTAGAACTGTTTGGCACATAGAAAGTGCTCAATAGATGTCAGCTATTATTAATATAAACTACTTTTGTCACCAAAATATGAAGTATAAAAAATGTCCCAAGGTCATATAATAATTATTTTGGAACATGATATGGAAAAATAGATCAGTAACACACATTGTTACTGATGTGTCTACAACATAGAACATGTCTACAACAAAACTTTTTTAAAAATCCCAATGATATGTCATTATACAAAGTTTTAAAAATAATTTCAAAAACACATTTCCCCTGAGATTTAAGACAGGCATGCAGCAGTATGCAGCTGCAAAACTGAAGTGCAAAAAGGAGCATAAAGTGAGGTCATGCCATACTCATGATTAAACAAACATGGGAAACAAGAGCAGTAGGTGGATCACACATAAAAAAAAATTAAACTGTAAATGTGGGGGCTAAGGTCCACCAGGATGAAAGTTCTATTAGCAAATATCTGATGGTCCTATTTTGGTACATCAAGCAGAGTAAATCTTAGACTCTTTTGAATATCTGTGGCATACGTATTTCCTGAGTGGCATACTTAACATGGCATCCTGTTCTCTAAATTATTTTCAGATCTTACCCCTTAAATCATGCATGGAAACTGCTAGGATTCTGGAGATTTTCCAGTTTGGCTTACAGGCCTGCAATCCTGGGTCAGTGATTTTATCTCTAGGAATGGAAGGTCTTTAGAAAAGAATCTAGTTGTAGGAAGGGTGGTGCCCAGGGCACTTGTTTTGAGTGTGTGTTTACATAAGAGCATAGTTTTTTTTTAAATTATTAATTTAATGTGAAATGTTTATTCAGGGTGGCAAGTGGGTGGGGGAGCATTAAAGGAGATTTCATTTCCACGAGGAACTTAAGTCCTCCACCCTATGCTCCAGGCCTGGCCTTGATCCACCATGGAATGTAACAGTACACTTCTCTGTGCTGTTGAGAGGTTGCATTGAGCTTAGCCCAGTGCTTGGGCAGGTAATGCTAAATGTTTGCTTTAAGATTCCATTAGTGTGAAACTTCTACAGAAATCTCTAGGAGGGTAGATCTGCTTGGTTTGTAAAGTATTTTGTTATTAATTTTTAATTGTAGAGACCTGGCAGTCATGGAGATGCCTTTGTCAGATGAGCCCTCTAGGGGCCAACAAACATATGAAAAGATACTCCACATCACTAATGAGAGAAATGCAAATCAAAACAACAAGGATGTAACACCCATTAGGATAGCTACTGTTCAGATAAACAAAACAAAAATCCAGAAAATAACAAGTGTTGGCAAAGATGTGGAAAAATTGGAACTCTTGTGCACTGTTGGTGTGAATGTAAAATGGTGCAGCCAGTTATAGAAAACAGTATAGCAGTTCCTCAAAAAAATTAAAGATAGAAAAACCATATGAT